AATTCTATCAGTGTTCAGCAATCAAAAATAATTTATAAAACTTAGTAATTAACCACTTACTACGGAAAAAGTAGGAAATCTAGCATTCAAGTGCTTACAAAACATAAGAAAGGCAAGAAGATAAAAACCAAGTTGTCCTAAAATTTACAAGCCCAAGGGGGGCGAAAGAAAAACCAAATAAAGAACTCTAGGACTGGGAGGTGTAAATACCTGAGCATAGATCCTCCGAAGGTACCAGACCGGCCGCTGCCTCGTCCATGAAAGTGAAATTCTTAAAATCCCTCTTCTTGATCCGGGGAAACTTCTGATCAGGGGTGATGCAAGTGAATATGGTCCTCACGTCCTTCCATATCCGGACCATCAGACGATCCCTCTCTAGACCTTTCCTCTTCTATTGACGCAGCCCGCGACGGAGTATCTTGACCTCTAGGGCAGTGCCGGGTGGAACTAGAGTGAAATTAGCAAAGGCACTCCCCAACCTCTTCTGGATGGCCGCCAGATCCTCCTCGACCCGTGCACCTAAGAGTGCGGTCTCGCCGTCCGAATCCACGACCGCCTTACTGCCGCTAGCCCAGCCCGTCCTCCTCTTCTTACTCTTGGAAGTAGAACCTAACCTGATCAAAAGAGGGTGGAAGGGAGGATCCATGGGTAATACCTCGTCAGTGTCGAGGAATGGCATTCCCACCCTCTTGCACAATGCAGTAGTAAGTCTCGATAGGAAGAAGGCTTTCTTGTTACCCAAGTAGATCATCTTCCATTCCAAAATGATCTGCGCCTCCACATTTAACTTGATGCCCTGTATAGCGCATGCCACCACCAAGGCCCGAGGAAAGGTCACGTCGGTGCGGTTGCTCGATGGGCGGATCCTCCTAGTCACCAAGTGTAGCCACCTCTTAGCATCAGGTGACCGATTCGAAATAGTAATGTCATTGACAGTAGCCTAATAAACCTAATCCCAGCGCACAGGCTCAATCAGGGTGTCCCTCAGCCAACCCAGGTCCATCTCCTGCAGCTTAGCCTCCTACTCAATATTCGAAACCTCGGGCAACTCTAGCGCCTCGTTAATGGCGGTGGCATTCAAGGGAATGTCAACTTCCCAGATACAGATGATGGGGTGAGGGTCATCCTATCGCACAAAAGGCAGGATAGTGTAGAACTCATTCACCCAAGTAGAATGTGCATCCGGGGGAGCCTCAATCAGTGAAGTCCATCTGAATTCCATCAGGCGAGCATAAAATATAGGCGTCTTTTCCTCTAGCCTGAGTAACACGAACCCTCTCTCGCAACAGAACCCTGTGTTTCTGTTGTCGTGATGTCTTTCCCGACTCACGGCATCGGGGAACCGAATGAAAGGTAAATTTTCCTCATTTAGACCTGCCATTTAGAGAGCCTGCAATAAGTTAAATATAATTTAGAACACGATAGGAATAGACAGTTTAAGGCTAAAATGAGAAGAGATAAATTTCTAAGTTAAGGGATGCAGGCCACTGGTCTAGCATATCCTTCTACAGCGGCCAGAATCCCGCCAGAGCGGGATTATGAAGGTCGCCATAGCAAGATGAAGGGCGCCAGAGCGACCTTCATTTGGGACGAACACCATGCACGATCATGGTGCCTCTTCGTCCCAAAATCCCTGTTTCGATAGAATTCCAGCAGATCAGAGTATATTAACTCTCCTAGAATCTAAATATGCCATCATATTAGCAAATAAACCCCTACAACAGTGCCAAATTTGAGTTTATGTCAAGAAGACCTTTCAACTTCTCCCACCCATTTTTGTATCGATTCAACCATTTTTTTATGAAATCCTTATGCACAGAACGTCGTGGAGACGTTGGGGACGTAAGGGAAGTGCCCATGCAATGTTTTCCTACCAAATCAAGCAACTTTTGTTCAAATTCAAAAATGACCCCCCTCCCAAAAAACCATTTCCAATCGATTGTTTAACAGCATGCAATCGTATTTAAGTATCTACTGAAGTAAAGAGCGTAAGGAACAAGAACATTACCTGAGTTTTGACGTTCGAAGGAGAGTGATTGAGAGGAGTTTTTGGAAGATAGGGAGAAATGGGAAAAATGTTTCCCTTTTCCTTCTTTACTGTTTCCTGATCTCCCGCCCACAGCAGCTCCGCCTCAGCGGGAGGGTTGCCTCCCTGGCGGGCCAGCTGTGTAATTTGTACGCTTTTGTTTCTTCGTGTGTTGCCTCAAGGTTCTTCTAACCCTTTAGAGTATAGTACCTCTCGTGTATCAATAATTGAAAAGTCACCATTCTTCGTGGTTCCGTGATGGCCCTATTCGTTAGTTTGGAAGTACTACGAAATAAGGTGTGTGATCATCCGGGCACTAGTCGTTCTGGAACAAACGAGGGTAAATTGGTATCTATTGTAACGATTCAAACTGTCGTTAATTAGGAAAAGCGAAAAATTTGAGAAATTCTAGGCCACTGTCCCGCCAGGGCGGCAGCACCACAACGGGGAAATAGTCGCCAGGGTGGGATAGGCGAGGCGGAATGAAAATAACGCGAATCCTTATTTCTCCTTCTTTCTAAAATATCTAAATTAGTCGTAAAACACCCTAGAAACCCCCCCCCCCCCAAAAATCTGCTCCAAGCTTAAGAAAGATGGAGAGAGAGATTTCTAGCAAAAGGATGTCGATGGATTGCGGATTTTCGGTCAAGATCACCCTCACGAGTTTCGGAAGCAAGAATCAAAGGCCAAATTTCCATGCAGCTACTTGGCTCCTAGGTAGGCTAGGTTTTATGAATTTGAGTAGTTGTAAATCTATGTTCACTGCGTAATATATGTAAAACAATGGTAGGATTTATGCGTAGGCCTTCGTGCACCGAACGAAATATGATTAAATTCTAGGAAGAAGTCTTAGATAATGAACTAGGGCTAAGTATGAGTGAATTAATGCTTACATGTTATACGTCGATAAGTAGTTCATTGCAGGGGCGGATCTATAGTGTGTCTAGGGGGGTCATCCGACCCCCCTCGGAAAAAAAATTACACTATATATATAAGATCAATTTTTTTGTGTACGTGTATATATTTAAAATTAAACCCCCTGAGCATATGTCAAAGGAGTAGCTCAATGGTTTATGGGGGTCAGGATTTTGCCTATATGAGCTTTGGGTCACGGGTTCGATTCCAGGCAACAACATTTTTTTTATTTGAACTCCCTTGATAGAATTTCTGCCTCCGCCACTGGTTCATTGGGATGGTCGTGATTCTATGATTGTGTGTGGTATGTTTGTTCTTGCTTCATTATAATACGTGCATGTATGTCAACGACTTATTGATCACACCTAACGTAAATAAGTATGAACGAAGAACTATATGTTGTGAATCACTCTTATTGTATGATTGTGATGATATACATTGTGATTGTGATTGTGTTTTTGGATCGGATGTTGCGTTTCGACACACTAACTTGGATCGATTGCCACATTCCGACATAATTATGGGATCGGTTTTCACGTTTCGGCATAATCTTTGGATAGGGTACCACGCTCCGGTATGCTAACAATTTGGGTTTGGGTTTCATGAGAGGACCAATGACTTGTCATAACTGTGAATTTGAGAATCGTGAAACTGTGTGCTGTTCGTGATGATAACTGATATTGTATTTCCCCGGAGATGTTATATGGTTATGAGGACTTATATTTGATTGTTCTTCTATGTTGAGTAATCTGGCTATGTATCTCCTTGTTGAATGAACTGGGAAGGGTTCAAGGGTTGAAATAGTTGAGAGTAAGGGTTGTCCGTGTGTTGTAAGGGTGAGAAGTAGGGGTAGTGTACGTGATGTAATTACTTAGGTGGATTTCACCTTGGAGGAAGAAATTTGTGGTTGGTAGTTCGAAATCTTGATGTAATGTGCTATGAGGCAAGGGCTAGGTAATATGAAGAGAAAGTAAGGGTATGTCATGAGTGGTTAGTCGTAGTGCTTGTAGTTGTATGTTGTGGACTCTTTGATGCATCAAGAATAGTTAGGCTATGATCATAAACCTAGTAAGTAGGTTGACGGAAAATGTAGTTGGTAGTAAGAGTACTAGTGTAATTCTAAGGTATTCGAGGAAGGGTAAAGGTGGAGAAGCGAGTGGTCTTATTGCATGTTTTTATTAGTTGAATTCTTATATTATGCGCTGGGTGTCGGGTTGACCGATATTGCCTACCAATATGTATGGTTTTGTACTGATACTACTCTTGCTATGCCTTTTTGGCATAGTCTGGATGCAGGGTCGATCATGTCTCATTAGGTGAAGACGAAGAAATCTCCAGCAGCTTTTATTTTTCCTTCTGCATGGTAGGAGCTGTGTCTTTTCATTATCATGTATGGTTTCGTACTCTTAGTAGCTCTTGTACCTGTTTAGACTAGATCCTTGGGGTGTTAGTTACTTTACAAGTCTTAACCTGAAATTGTTTAAAAGTTCTTATTTATGAAACCCGATTATTTCATTTATCTCTATTTTTCTTTAAAAACAATTTGCATGTTTTAACTATTAGGATATAAGGGTTCTCCTACTTAGGTGTTAGAGTAGGTACCCGCACGGCCCGGTGGGGTGGGTTGTGACAATATCTAAACTATAACTTATTAGTTTGAGAAACACACATCTCTCTTTTATAACACTCTCACCATGGTGCTGTAACACACTCTCTCTTTTATTTAAAAAATTGTCACGTCACACTCCACATGGACAAACATTCCACCTTGAGAAAAATTAAATAAATTATTATCTCAAAAAATATATATAAAGAACTTTAAAACTTGTGATCTAAAACAAGTCATTGATTTTTGTGTGATTAAATTTTTAGTAACAATTTAACTTTAAAATATTTATTTAACCTCTAATGAAATGATTTTCAAAAATATTTATTTCTTTCTTAAATTAGTGTCAGATTAGACTAACTCATGTAAATTGTAATTGAGTTAGCAAGTAGTTTAGCCATAAATAAATAGTGTTTTGTTAGAATAATTATCTATAGCCATTTCTCAAGAAGCCAACAATGGCTTCTACTTGTCTGGATATGGTACTGAATCCGAATTTGATTGCTTCTGTTACGTTACTTGCTTCAGTTTCATTTGCATATTTAACCCCTTTTTATTACTTTTGATTGCAGAGCTTTCTTGGGAATTTTTGCTGCAACAACTGGAGTTTCAGACCTTGTACAAGACTAACACCTTGCATTTCCCAAGTGGGTTTTTCCAAGTTCAATTTTTTTTTCGAATTTCTCTGTATCTTTGTGTTGCAGTATGATAATCATAGCTTAGAAATGGATGAATTTGGAAATTTTCTTTAGTACCAGTAGAGAATTTGGTAAAATGTAGGTTGAGATTAGGGCTAAGAAATCACATAATATAGCTTAGGGCTTATGATGTTTCTTGATGTTAGCATTTTTTTTTTGGGTGAAATGTAGGTTTTAGATTTTCAATTTTGCATTTCAATTGATGGGTCAATTAGAATTTTGATACTTCAAGTATATGTTTCATTTCATTTGGAGAGATTTGTATCGGTTTACTGTAGGCATCTTCAGATTTTTTGTACTTCTGTTTGTCTTTCGTATCTGATTACTGACACACTAAATACTTGGAAATTCTTGTATTGAGATTTGGTAAAAAGAAATGTTGCAATGACTGTGTGAACAACTCATTTGATTATATACCATTCATCCCAATAAGGTCTTCCTTTCCAACATTTAACGTGGGTATTAGTTGAACATATATTGCAGGAAAGGAATGGTTTATTGCTCGGGAAAAACAAGAACTATACTAGCTCTATAGGATATAATGGAGTTCCTTTAACAGAAATTTCTTGTGTTCCAAGTGCTGCTGCCAGTTCTAGTGAACTTCCTCCACTTGTCAGTGCTTTAAAAGCTTCAGCTGAAGAAAATGCTGCAAGTTTTCATTTTCCTGGCCATAACAGAGGACAAGCAGCACCATCATCGTTGACTCAGCTCATTGGTGCAAAACCGTTTCTTCATGATTTGCCTGAGCTTCCGGAGCTTGACAATCTGTTTTCGCCAGAAGGTCCCATTTTCGAAGCACAAAAACAAGCAGCAAGACTTTTTGGAGCATCGGAAACGTGGTTCCTTGTTGGCGGTAGTACATGTGGAATTCACGCGGCCATTATGGCGACTTGTTCACCTGGAGATACTCTTATTCTCCCACGGAATTCTCATATCTCAGCCATATCCGCAATGGTGTTGTCTGGTGCACTCCCGAAGTACATTGTCCCTGAATATGATTTCAATTGGGATGTTGCTGGTGGCATCACTCCATCACAGGCAAGTACAACATCATGACATGCATCTTTCTCAAAGTTGTCTTTATGTAAGAATTAAATTATCTTGAATGCATAAGTGGAACGATTTTTTAAGTGTAAAATTATGCAAACTAGTGATAAATTTATAAAAGTGTTAAAAAGACTATCACTTGTATCCATAAAAAGATGAAGTTCTTGTTATGAAGGTGAATGCTGCAATCAAAGAGCTAGAAATGGAAGGCCGAAAAGCAGCAGCCCTTTTGGTTGTCTCCCCTACGTATCATGGTATATGCAGCAACATGGATGAGATTTGTCATATTTGTCATTCGTATAATATCCCTGTAATTGTCGATGAGGCTCATGGGGCCCATTTAGGATTTCATCCAGACCTGCCTAGCTCATCCCTCAGCCAGGGAGCTGATCTTGCTGTACAGTCTACTCACAAAGTTTTGTGTTCGCTTACGCAATCATCTATGTTGCACACGCAAGGAAATCTTGTAGATAGAGAAAGAATCAGCAAAAGCCTACAAATGCTTCAAAGTAGTAGCCCTAGTTATCTGCTTTTAGCGTCTCTGGATGCTGCCAGGGCCCAATTAAGTGAAAATAGAGAGGCTATTTTTGACAAAGCAATAGACTTGGCATTGGAAGCAAGAAGCTTGATTAGTAAAATTCCTGGAATCTCAATCCTCAAGTTTCCAAGTTTCTCGAGTTTTTTCCAGATCGACCCATTGCGACTCACCATTGGTGTATGGCAGTTAGGTCTTTCAGGTTTTGAAGCAGATGATATATTGTGCAATGATTTTGGTGTTGTTTGTGAACTTGTTGGGACCAAATCTTTTACTTTGGCATTTAACTTAGGGACTCAAAGAGATCATGTCCTTCGGCTTGTAGCTGGTCTAAAGCATCTATCACAAACTTCTCACTTTCCTCAACCTGTGAAAGATGAAGGCAAAAATGTCAATCATTTTGTATGCCTTGATGATATTAGAATAAGCATGAGCCCTAGAGAGGCTTTCTTTGCTACAAAACGTAAAGTCAGCATAAGATATAGCCTCGGTGAAATTTGTGGAGAGCTTGTTTGTCCTTATCCACCTGGTATTCCAGTGCTAATTCCTGGCGAGATCATCACAGAAGAAGCATTGAATTATCTCCTGGAGATCAGAAGCAAGGGTGCCGTTATTACCGGAGCAGCTGATTTCTCCCTATCATCTTTTGTTGTATGTGTTACCTAAGCATTCTTCCGTCACCTTTAGTAAGTAGTTGAAGTACAAATGCGAGTGACTTTGGTGTTAGACCACCCTGCATTTGGCATTTGAGATCTTAGCCTTTCCTATATTGCAGGCAGCGGTTTTGGGTATAGTTTGAGTTCAAAAACAGCTTCTTTCAGAGCTTTCGATGGGAACTGTCATGAGCCTATCAAAGGAAACTGGGAACTGAAAGGCACCTCAACGAGAATATTATGTGGACATGGCTACTCTAGGTTTGTTTTTTTCATAATATCAAAGACATTCACGTTGTCTCTATTAATGCTCGTCTCAACATTGATATCTGGGGGTTCCACATTCTTCTTTTCCTCATTGTATTTATAAATCTGGTCAAACGAAGGTGGACGTATTTCTCTATCAGGCAGGCAAGAGCTAGGGGACTATAGCAGCAAGAGGCAACAAGATGATCCTCATCAAACTGGACAAAAGCAATACAAGCAGGTGAAGAAAGAGAAAATCCGGCAAGCTATTACTCATTAGATGGCATTTCCAATGGACACTCTAGTTCATCTAAAACCAACATGCTTAGTGTAAGCTCTTCCTCTTTTGGGGACTGTTACTATTTGGCTTCTATGTTGAATTAATAAACCTTGTAATCATTTGGGGTGGCAGATGGATTGTTCTGGAACAGTGAGAATATGTAACCAGGCATATATTATTTCTTCTATAATGGAATTATTTTCTTCTGTTGCAAGCTGGGATGATCAAAATTTGCATGTACTTTGTATCCTTATTCTGTTTCTTTTTCATTCTGATGATAGAAACATGACTTAGACATTAAGGTGCCGTTTGATTGGGAAGAAGTTATCTCGGAATTAACTATTCCTGGATAAGTTATTCCACCATTTATATGGCAAGTGGAGTTGAAGGCTGAGCCTCAACCAGTATATATGGATAATTTATATCATCACTAAGGTATAAATAGTAGGATAAATAATCGTAGGACTGCATTATTGTATTTTATACCTCACACCAAACGACTCCTAACATTTTAAGAAATGCTATCAGAACTGGAACAAAATGATGATAATCCTTGAAAAGATGGAAAATGAAGTAAAAATCTAGATAATGAATTTTGGAGATCTTTTAAAACGGGCTTCTTATATAAATGTACAGGTGACAAAATTTCTTTTTAACAAAATAGACGCATTTATATGTAATGGATTGATATTGTGCAAATGGTTATGTAATGTATCAATAGTGCATAAATAATATATAGCTATGTGTATATGATATAGGGAAAAGAACCTAAAATATCCCTCAACTTTGCGATTTAGAGTTGATATACCTCTAGTTACAAAAGTGGTTTGCATATACCTTACCGTTACAAAAGTGGATCACATATACCCTACTGTTACAAAAGTTGCTCACATATATCATTTTTATGTAATGAGCCACTTTTGCAACGAGGGTTATATCAACTCTAAATCGCAAAATTGAGGGGTATATTAAATATGTATATGCATTCATATACGTTGGTTATACAATATTTATAAATTGTAGACTGTTTTTTTTTTAATAATGACTTACTCAAATTTCCTCTTAATTGTTCCAAATTTTAGATAGGACCTCCTCTCAATGTTTCAAATCTTTTAATGTATTATTTACTCGAAACAATTTATGATATGTTAATGAACAATTTGTCACTCTTTCCTCAATTTGCATTTTAATTAATACTTTTTGTGTTGATTTTAAGGATGTTAAGGAGTTAAATATATACTTATATACATCATTGATTGATTAAATTAACATATAATAATAAGAGAAGCATGTTATTAGGTTGATCACAGGAAACTTTGTGTTGCTATAAATATTCTCATGCGGTCTCTTAATTAATCATTTTAATAGAAAAAGGAATGAAAATCAATATGTGAAGAAAGCACACACTATAGCATTGAATTTAACCTATCTATTCAAGATTTACCTTAACAATAGATAAATTTTGCAAAGTTTAGCTAGTGCAAATTCTAAAGAAATAGGGATAATTATTCATATGGCTAATTGTAACTAGTTTTAAAATTGAACATAATTGAGTGATTGATTAAGATTTATTTCTTATATAAACTTTTACATAATTATGAGGGGACATTTTTAGCTAGTTAAGATCTTTAACACGTTCAAACATTGCCCCCTATAAATAATTATTAAGAGAAGTCAAAGGTGTTTATGTGGTATAAACAAGCTCATAGGTGACAAATAGTTTTGGATTAAATATGATAGTACTAATATTTAATCAAACTTAACAACCAACCATCTTTCACATCAAATCAATACAATTTACCATGATCAAGTGATTTAATCAAGTAAAAAATACATATTACATAGCCATGGTTAGGTGAAAGGAGTCATGATATGCATGTATTTGAGGAGAGGCAAGGGAACAACATGAGGGAGATGCCATTCACCTTCAAACAAGTAGGAAACTAAAGCACAACAACTACAACACTAAAATCAGCAACCAACTGCACATGGCAAGGGAACAACATGAGAGGCAAGTTGTCACACAGTAAATGACACTCGAATGCTTTCTCAATCTCAATAACCAACATGGAGGGCAGGACACTCGCCATCCAGCGGCATCTAACTAATCATGTATCAGCTCTCTGGCAAGTCAACATTAACACAAAAGTGATCTGAGGAGCTATTAATCCTCATGCAAATAACTAGAGCATATGTATTCACCAACATGCTCCAGTGAAATATCCACAAGCATTCCAGTAAACAATAAGAGTCTTGAGTCATCTCCCATATAGGATATAGGAGAGGAGAAAGTGCCACCAAGGTATTGAAATGAAGGAAAAAGAAGTTGAGTTGAACTTCGCAGAAACATAAGCATTTCTGCCATCTTTTCAGAGAACGATGGCAATCATGCATATGATAAAAGGAAAATGAGTTATAAGACAGGTAATAGTAATAAAACAACTACCAGAGAGTTAAGTCGGAGAAGCTTCAATTATTGTACATAAATCCACTTAGCCACTACGTTCCACTATTAAATTAAGTTACTAAGAAATCCATTAAAAGCAGCCCCAAATGGTAAACTCAAGCTAACGAGATCATGCATTACGTAATTAGGTCATCCATCAAAGCCCTGAAGCTTGCCTCATATGCGAAGAACAAAACTGCTTAAACTGATCACTAGATTCAGAGAGGACTTCACATGGTAGATAAAACTAGCACATTACAAGAACTCGACTCACGTATGGACAACAGTGGAGAGGCAAGAACAGAGGATGCCTATCTTCCCCTCCTACACAGGGTATCATTAACACAGCATCTTATTTCTATAGTCAATACACCTATTATAAGTGAAATCTCAACTGTTTTCTGCCAAGTACCGGACATCCTGACAGCTACATTACACTATGGAGCAGAACAGCTCAACCCGAAGAGAGAAAGCAAGAGAAGGGCTGAAACATGACGGTTCATCAATCAATCGATCAACATCAACCACATGTCAGTCGCAAGTTAATTGCGCTAGCTTCTAGTTGGGTTAGCTATTTATCTGTATTTGTTAAGAAAACAAAATAGAGGATTCACCATAGCACAATCATGCCTTGCATAGAGGAGATATGCAAATCAACCTCACAATATTGTAAGTAAAAACATTCACCACAATACATGAAACAGTAGAAACAGATGATAAAACAAGCATAAATGCAAAAGAAAAAATTGACTCATACTTCACACACATCAAAATAATCAAAATCAAGGTGATTCACTAAAAAAAGGTAACTCTTTTATCCAAGTTTCACAATCCATTAGCATCAGAAGAGTATTAAAGAGCCAACAAGACATAGTTTTATTACATCTAAACCTAAGCCCTAAATTCCCAAACAATTATTACCAATAAAAGGGCTTTAACACAGGGCTGCAAATCTGATAACCCAAGAAAACTTAATTGGGTTCAATGATGATCCATACATAGCAAAAGCCAAAATGAGCTCGACAAATATAAAATTGATCAGTATCAAGGTGATCCAGCTAAACAAAAATTCAAAACAACCCATTACCAATAGAAGTCAAATCGACTGATATCTGAGAAAGGGGGTTTATACGGGACTAAGAAGCTGAGAAAGAGAGGGTTTTGGTTCAGAATTCATGCCAATGATGATGACAAGAGGGATGAAACCGTAATGGGTGATAACTTTGGCTTTCTTTGCGGTCCATGTCCCCCACTCCTTCACGAACTTTCCCACCACCGCCACTGCTCTGTCGTCCTCGTCCGCCGCAGCAGCTTTCTTGGTGTTCTTCCCTTTAGGTTTCAGCATGATCTTCGAAGACATGTTCGTAGTTTCTGGTGCAGAGATGAACCCTAGAAATGGAAAATTAGGCAACGTGAAGGTTCTAGAAATGCAAAATTAGCGCAAAACTCCTGTATAATTTTCAATTCGTTTTATTAAAGTGAGATTTGATCTAAATTTCAATAAATATTTCACACACTCGTCAATGATTTTTTTTTTAAAAACGGAGTTAATGATCGAATTGAACCATATCAAATAGACCTTTTGGTTTATTAGCTAATATAGCTATAATTTGAATTAATTACGACTCACAACTTTATTTTAGATATATTTACATCACCTTTCTCATCTCCTCCTCTCTCTTGCCGCTCTTTTATACATATACAAATACAAATATACAATTATATGACAGATTTATAAATATAATTAGCCTCTCTCCACTCTTTTCCCTCTCTCACTCGCTCTTCTCCTTCTCCCAATCTCGCTCGCCTCTCTACTCCCCCTCTCAATCCTACTCGCCAGATATACAAATACATATATATAATATACAGTTTATTTGACAGATATACATATACAATTCCCTTCTCTCCACCCTCTGCCCTCTCTCGCTCGTCTCTCTCCTCCATCTCTCAATCTCGCTCGCCAGATATACAAATACATATATATACAAGTTACATATATACAATTATTTTGATTGATATACATATACAATTCGACATATATACATATACAATTCGTCTCTCTCCACTCTCTGCCCTCTCTTGCTCGCCTCTCTCATCTCTCTAACATGTAGCTACAAATTGTAATTAGCAAACATAAATATGGAGCGTAATGAAGCTATTTTTGAGTGACTATATGCAAAAATTCCCCAACAAAAAATAGTTGTGTAATAATATTTATTCAATTTGAAAATCAAGAGATAATTTATCATTTTAATTCTATTTTATCCTTGGTATTAAATAATACCTTCGTATTAAATAATATTTAATAGATTTTCCAAAGAGTTCAATTAACATATTAATCGAGTAATATAATAATATTACTCTTATTATTTATTGTTTCTTAAGGTGTGTATGTCAAATTAATAATTGACAACTATTGTTGGACGGAAGGAGTATAAATTTATAATTGTATCAAATAAGTAGGTATATTTTTTATTTTATAAAAGTAATCGAATAAAACAAACTCTACTAAATAATATACATGTGTAAAATATATTTTATAATATATATTAAGTTTAAATAAGAAAATATTTAAAAAATATTGTACCCAAGATAATAAAAAGACTATAAGTAACAACATAGTTAACACTTAACATTAATAACTTCTTATACTACTCTAATCGAAATTAAATTAGTTCTCAATAATAACTAACAAATTACAAGGAGTTCCCACGATTATCATACATTCTTAAAGAGAAATTGTTCAAATTAATTATGGAAAAAGCTAATGGGCAAAGAGCTTGAAAAATCAACTCTTTCCAAAGAAGAATTTTGGCTCCCATGAAAGGTGAGATCCATTAAGTAGATTCAGTTCTCAAATTTCATTTTGATTGATGTTTCTTTTTGCTCGTATGATATAAATTATATATTTTGTTTGTACTTAATATACTAATAATGAGATGAATTTCTATTCTTATTTTCTTAATTCATCACCTTTTAAAATATCTGGAGAGTTCTTTTTCAAAGTTATACATAGAATATACATGATAGTAGATTCTAAGTTTTATATATTTTTAAAAGAAATGTTGAAAATTAATTGAACCGTATCAATATAGAAAAAAATAGAAATAATGAAACAATTTCAAAAAGTCTAGTTTTGGTTATATAAAATAAAATAATCAAAAATAATAATATGTTATCAATTTTAAAAAAATCACCCTCATCTCCAACTTATTCGTGGTTTTAAGGTGCTTTTGACTATTAAAAAAACTTATTTGGAGACCAAGGCGAGGGGTCATCTTCCGCAACCAACCGGGGTCATGTGGAGCCGGCCTCCCCGCCGGCCCCCCTGCCCGCACCTTCCATAATGGAAGTACGTAGAAATCTTGATTTGTTTACTTCCTCCTTTAATAAGATCGGGATGAGGAGTGACCTTTTACTGGACCTATCTAAACCGTACCATTAACACCCCTCATTTAAAAAGAGGAAAATTACGCGGTTAAGCAAATGTATACTACTTAATTATTCATCATAGTTATAGTTTGCTATAATTACCACTTGCAACTAACATTAACCATTAATTACGTGGGCTGACTTTGAGTTTGTATAATTAGTCACGTTTGTATAATTCGCCACATTTATATAATTCACAACTAACAATTCTTCGTTTGATTTGTATTTGTATACGATGGTTTGTATTGTATATGACGATGATTTCCTTTGGTTTTTCAGTTTTATCACCATATAGACTCAATCTTTTTGTGTATAACTTTTTAAAGTTTGTATAAATGTGTAGGTGTCGGATTTTGTATAATATAATTATATAATGTAATTTGTATAATATAATTTGCATAATTGTTTAAAGTTCATATGTTTATGTTTGTATCAATTCATTATTTCGAGTTTTACATACTTGTATAATTCTAGACTTTATATTATTCAATTATACAAAAACACGTGAATTACACAAATGTACCCGCGAATTATACAAATGAGATGTGAATTATACAAATTATTGCTCTTTGTCTCGCTCGCCTCTCTCCTCCCTCTCCCAATCTCACTCGCCACTCTCGTCCCTATAACATGTAGCTACGAATCGTAATTAACAAACTATGGTTATGGATCATAATTAAGTTAATTTTGAATTGCTATATGCGAAAGTTCCCCTTTTAAGAAAATATTACAACTTATATGTATGAAGGAATTTCAAGTTGCACCTTATATAATTAATTCCTACTTGGTTCCTACTCTTCTTTGTTATTTGGAAAGAGTTTTGTATTGTCTACTTTCTTTCTTAGCAAGTTTGTCTTTTCAATCTTTTTTTTTTTTGTGGTCTTGAGGCATGGTTTTCATGTCCTCTTCTAGTCATTATAACAACCTAATGGTGATTGCTTATTAAAAATAAGACTGCATAGTTCTATTGCTTAAACTGTGTTTTAGTTCTATATTCCAATATATTTGGAGGCTATTACCAATCTTTTCTTGATCCTCCAAAAAAATTCTGGGAGAAACAATTCATCATATGTTATACTTTTATTCCAACTCTATAAGTATTGATCTGATGTTTATTTTCGCAGCATTTGCATGACGATGAGTGGGGTAAGCCACACACAAAGTTTGTAGTACAAGTTCTGCTATATTTTTGGAAGAAGTAAAATTACATTGTTCATACACAGCTTGTTGTAATTTTAGATTTGTGAGGAATTAACTCAGTTCATGATAAATTTACCTTCAACTAACAAACGTCTTTTACGGAGGAAACAAGTCACAAATATAACACATTTTCTTTGTGTTTATAACTTAAAATTAGGTCACGAAACTCAGGCTCTTTGATAAGGTCTTTAAATAGTTTTACCTACTCTGTCAAAACATAACATCAACAAGATATTAAGACAGAAATGAAAGTTATCTTAAAGAACCATTGGGTAGTTAAGCCAGCTGAGGCAACATGGAATGGCACTGTCTCCTTATCAGAATTTGATCAAACATTTGCTGTAACTCATGTACCAACCATCTATTACTATAAATATTTCCAGGATTTTGTTACTGATGAAATCATCGAAACCCTTAAGACCTCACTGAGCAAAGCACTAGTATACTTCTATCCACTGGCTGGTCGTTTACGTTGGATCAACGGGTCCCGGCTTGAGCTAGACTGTGATGCCTCGGGGGTTGTTCTCACGGAAGCTGAAGCTGATGCTAAGCTAGATAATCTCACCGATTTCTTGCTATCACCAGATTATAATAGCTTATTTCCTCGTGTAGATTACACTGTGCCAATTGATGAGCTCCCTTTGTTGTTTGTGCAGCTTACTAAGTTCCAGTGTGGTGGTATTGCTCTCAGTTTTGCAATCTCACATGCTGTTGTTGATGGACAAAGTGCTCTTTATTTCTTCTCTGAATGGGCTAGGCTTGCTCGTGGGGAGCCGTTGATGTTTGCTCCTTGTCATGATCGAAAACTTCTCCGAGCTGGTGAACCTGCAGTTGCATCTCCTACTTTTGAGCATTTACAGTTTAATACTCCACCACTTTTAATTGGAAAGTCCAGTACTGAAAACGAGAAGAAAAAAGAAACGAAAGGCGCTATGTTAAAACTTACTAAACTTCAAGTAGAAATATTGAGGGAAAAAGCAAATCAAGGAAGAAGTATAGAGGATAGTAAAGAGCGTAGTTACACGCGTTATGAAGTTGTGACTGCTCATATATGGAGATGTGCATGTAAGGCAAGAGGTCATAAATTTGAGCAGCCTACAAATTTATGCATTTGTGTTAACATACGTAAAAAAATGGATCCACCTTTACCTAATACCTACTTTGGCAATGCCATCGTTGATGTCATTGCCACCGGGGCCTCAGGTGACATTGCCTCGAGCCCATTGGAGTGTACTGCTAAAAGGGTTAGGGAAGCTATTAATATGGTGACAAGTGATTACGCAAACTCAACGATTAATTTCTTGAAAAAACAAGAGGATTTGTCAATATATCAAGATATTCATGCATTTAGAAACAAGGAGGGTCCTTTCTATGGGAATCCTAATCTTGGTGTGATAAGTTGGATAAGTTTGCCAGTATTGGGGTTGGATTTTGGATGGGGCAAAGAGACACATATGAGCCCAGGAATTCATGAGTATGATGGTGATTGTGTTATACTACCAGAGAATGAAGGGGATGGATCTTTGACTGTTGCAATTGTTCTTCAACTTGCTCATGTCGATGCTTTCGAGAAATTTTTCTATGAAGATATTGAATGTTGAAAAAAGAGAGTAAAGCTTTATGAGAAGAAAGGGAAACAAATCAAGAACATACGTAACTTTTCTTGTAATAATAACACTATTACTACCCATATATAGCCAAGCAAAATAACACTTGAATGTATTCCTGTTCTAATAGGTTCCTCAAATCCTTATTTGAAAATCTTAATTGTATGAATGTTTTAACAGTCTATCAATCTCTAACATGTCTACTTAGATTTCATGAGAGTGATTACAATCATATCCTATTGAAGATATCCTTATATGAAAGTCTTTAAATGGTCTCCGGATTTCAAACCACAAGTGAAAACATGTATTGATACTGTTTGGATTCTCATTCACAAACTTTCTTGGCATCTCTTTAGATGGGATAGTCTCTAAGATCTTAAGTGTTGTTGGAATTGTTGTCGCCTTGGATGTTGCTCTACATATGTACTCTAAGTCTCGAGGCAATGTAGCCAAGATTAAGGTTGAGATTGATCTTCTTGAACCCAAACTAGACCAAATATGGCTTGGCTATAATATGTTAGATGACACTGGAGGGATAGGATTTGGCTTGATATACGAGGATGTTGTTAAGAATCTGCTTTTGAACTGTGGTAAATTTAATTTTATTGCCTATGTTTTAAGTAAGACTTAGTCAATTAGTTGTTAGTCATGCTTTCCTATTATTTAGGAGTTGTTAAGTGAGCTGCTAGATCGTGAGTTATTATTTTTTTACTTTTCATTCTAGGCTCTTATATATCTAATCTGAAGCATTAATAAAATTCTTCTTCTGCTTTCATTCTTTTTTCTCTCTCTCGTCTTTTTTGTTTTAGGCGCAGTCTTTGATTTCCCTTTGTGTTATTTAGCTTAAACAGGCTTTTAAAACCTTCAATTGGTATCAGGAGCTTTATTTCTTAAGGGACCTGTGTGTGTGGGAGCCAATCAGATTTCGTGAATACCATGAACAGAGAAGCAAGTTTTTCTTCAATGGCACCACCAACTTTTGGTGGAGAAAGTTATCGAATATGGGTTGTTAGAATGCAGGCATATCTGGAAGTCTTGGATCTCTGGGAGGCTGTAAAAGATGAATACATCATTGCTCCCTTCCCAAACAATCCCACAATGGCGCAAATTAAAAATCACCAGGAAAGGAAAATTAGGAAATCAAAGGCAAAGGTATATTTATGTGTTGCAGTTTCATCCACTGTCTTCACTCGTATCATGTCTCTGAAGTTGGCAAAAGAGGTATGGGATTATCTTAAGACTGAGTATGAAGGAGATGCGAGAATTCGAGGGATACAAGTGCTGAATTTGGTATGTGAGTTTGAGCTGCAAAAGATGAAGGATAGTGAAACCATACAGGAATACACTGACCGACTTCTTAACATTGCCAATCACGTCAGATTGTTGGGTTCCACTTTTAACGATTCAAGGATCGTTGAGAAAATCCTTGTAACGGTACCTGAAAGATTTGAGGCGACCATTACTACCCTCCTTGTAAGCATTGCAGCAAGATCGGACATGCACCTTTCAAGTGTTAGAGAAGGCCTGAAACTAAGTGCAGTAAGTGCAATCAGTTTGGACATAAAGCAATCATTTGTAAGAACAAAACTCAGCAGCAGGATGTAGATGTTCGAGTTGTAAATGAACAGGAGAAGGATAAACTATTTGTTGCATTTAGCAAGCAATGTTTCTAGCGAGTCGTGGTTGATTGATAGCGGATGCACAAATCACATGACTCATGATAAAGAACTCTTCAAAGAATTGAAGCCTACTCGAGTTGTAAATGTTCGAATAGGCCATGGTGGTCACATTCCAGTAAAAGGAATGGGAACTATTGCAGTTGAGACACAAGCAGGTACAAAAACAATAACAAATGTTCTTTATGTACCAGACTTAGACCGAAACTTGTTAAGTGTTGGTCAATTGTTATAAAAAGGTTTCGAACTTTATTTTGAAGATAAATATTGCTTGATCAAGGATCCCTCAGGGCAAGACTTGTTTAAAGTCAAAATGAGAGGAAAAAGTTTCTCATTAGATCCATTTGAGGAAGAACAGATGTTGTATTCAGCAAAAGAAAATGTCGTTGAGTTATGGCATAAGAGACTCGGGCACTATCATTATGAAGGGCTTGTCAAAATGAAAAAGTTGAAGATGGTGGAGAGCTTACCCGATCTGGAAGCAAATTCCACTGAATTTCATGCCTGCCAATTTGGTAAGCAACACAGAAAGCCATTTCCAAAATCAACCTGAAGAGCCTCACAAAAGCTACAACTAGTTCACACTGATGTCGCAGGGCCTCAAAGAACTCCATCACTACAAGGTAGCATCTATTACGTTCTTTTCATTGACGATTTTACAAGAATGTGTTGGATTTTTTTCTTGAAATTCAAGTCAGAAGTTGCTGGTGTATTCTGAAAATTCAAGAAATTGGTGGAAAATCAAAGTAATTGTAAGATTCAATCTTTGAGGTCTGATAATGGGAAGGAATACACCTCAACGAAATTTGATTCATTCTGTGAGGAGGCCGGCATTGTGCATCAGCTTACAACACCATACACACTAGAACAAAATGGTGTTAGTGAAAGAAGAAATAGATAGATAATGGAGATGGCCAGATATATGTTGCATGAGAAGGAGTTGCTTAAGAAATTTTGGGCAGAGGCAGCAAATACTGCAGTTTTTATGCAGAATTGACTTCCAACGAAAGCTTTGAAGGATAAAACACCATTTGAAGCTTGGTACGGGTTTTAGCCTTCACTAAGTTTTCTTAAAGTGTTTGGTTGTGTCTGTTTTGTTCATGTTCCTCAAGTTAAACGTGACAAAATTGACAAGAAGGCAATCATAGGCATCCATGTGGGTTACAATAGAGTTTCTAAAGCCTACAAAGTCTATCATCCTCAAATAGGAAATATGACAATTACAAGAGATGTTCATTTTAGTGAGAATGAACAGTGGGACTGGAAGAACTCTCGAAAATCAGGAAAACGCTCTCTAGAAGCAAACATCAGCCCTCCTGAAGAGCAAAAATCAGAACACTGGCAGTAAGAACTAGAAGATGATCATCCAGTCAAGGGGAGAATATTGTTGTCAGATATCTATCAGAGGTGTAATATCGCCATCTATGAACCTGCTGGTCCCGTAGAAGCTTTTCAAGACCCAAAATGGAAGAAAGCAATGGAGGAGGAGATCTTCATGATTGAGAAAAATAAAACTTGGGTGCTGGTCGACAAACCTAAAGATAAAAAAGTCATTGGTGTGAGATGGGTCTTCAAAACAAAGTTAAATGCAGATAGTTCCATCAACAAATACAAGGCGAGGCTTGTAGTTAAAGGGTACGCACAAATTTATGGTGTTGATTACTCTAACACTTTTTCTCCTGTTGCAAGATTAGACACAATCAGATTACTACTCGCACTAGCAGCACAAATGGAATGGAAGGTGTTCTAACTCGATGTCAAATCAGCCTTCTTAAATGGCATACTGGAGGAGGAAATATATGTCGAGCAACCATCAGGATTTGTGAAACACGGTAATAAAGACAAAGTCTATCTGCTAAAAAAGGCTTTGTATGGCCTAAAGCAAGCACCAAGAGCTTGGTATAGTAGGATATATGATCATCTGTTAAGCTTGGGCTTTGAAAAAAGCTTATCTGAATCCACTTTGTATGTAAAGCATAAAGACACTGATATACTTATTATGTCGCTTTATATTGATGATCTTCTGGTAATAGGAAATAATACAAGTCTGATTGAGAAGTTTAAAGAAGAAATGATGCAAGTTTTTGAAATGACAGATCTTGGTCTTATGACTTATTTTCTTGGAATGGAGATCAAGCAAAACAAAAGTGAAGTGTTCATTTGCCAGAAGAAATACGCAAAGGAAATTCAGAAGAAATTTCAAATGGAGGAATGCAAGTCGATGAGCACGCCGATGAATAAAAAAGAGAAGCTCTATAAAGAAGATGGAGACGACAAAGTTGATGAAGGTTATTATAGAAGCTTGATTGGATGCTTAATTTATCTCACTGCAACAAGGCCTGATATTTTATTTGCTGTAAGTCTCTTATCTCGTTTTATGCACTGTGAAAGTGAAATGCATTTAAGAGCAGCAAAAAGAATATTAAGATATATCAAAGATACTATTGACTATGGTGTAAAGTTTGAGGAGTGTTCAAGCTTCAAGCTACTTGGATTCTCATATAGTGATTGGGCTGGATCCACAGATGATATGAGAAGTACCTCTAGCCATTGTTTCAACCTAGGTTCAGGAATATTCTTATGGCCATCTAAGAAACAGGAAATTGTTGCACAATCACTGCGGAAGCTGAATTCATAGCACCAACAGGAGCAGTAAACCAAGACTTGTGGCTTAGAAAAATCATGTATGAGTTACATTTGGAACAGAAGGAAAGTACTATCATTCTTGTCAACAACCAGACGACTATTGCAATCTCAAACAATCTGGTGTTTCACAAGAAGACCAAGCATTTCAACATCAAGTTCTATTTCCTTAGAGAAGTGCAACAAAGGGGAGAAGTAACTCTAGTCTACTGCAAGTCTGAAAATCAGCTAGCAGATCTATTTACTAAGCCTTTACCGATCAGCAAATTCGAGCTTCTTAGACAGAAAATTGGAGATTGCAGTATCCAAAGCAAGGAGGAGTGTTAGGAATCTGCTTTTGAACTGCAGTAAATTTAATTTCATTGCCTATGTTTTAAGTAAGACTTAGTCAATTAGTTGTTAGTCATATGCTTTCCTATTATTTAGGAGTTGTTAAGTGAGCTGCTACATCGTGTGTTATTATTTTTTTACTTTTCATTCTAGACTCTTATATATCTAATCTGAAGCATTAATAAAATTCTTCTTCTTCCTCTTCCATTCTTTTTTCTCTCTCGTTATTTTTTGTTTTAGGCGCAGTCTTTGATTTCCCTTTGTGTTATTTAGCTTAAACATGTTTTTAAAACCTTCAGATGCCCCCGCCCCACAATACTATCTCTAATATTGAAAATTTTAGGGACATTTTTTAAGAAAACAATACTAACTACTCATCCAGGGAATCAAGATCCTTTACAGTTAACTGTAAACAACAAGTAAAGAACTCGAATTTTTTTCCGTGGAAGCAATGTAACAAGGATGAAAGTTGCAGATTCCAAAGAACATGAGTGTTTTGGCTACTAGAAAACTCAAAGAGCCAACTACTACCAATGTTGGTACTGATTTGGCTTATATTTTTCAAGTCACATTAAAACAAATTCAAAACAGACAATAGAAAGCTACAATTGTGCTAGTCAAGAATATGAATACTACCAAACAAGGTACTGATAAAGTCACAAATCCAAGAGCCATGAACAACATCTCATGATAGACATGCAAAAAAAGTTAATCAGGAGAATAATGAGTTTCTTTGTTTCCTTACAAGATGAAAAGAAGCAAATATTGTTGTTAATGGTTATTAATGGTATTTAATGACTATTGAATATCCTTAATGGTGTTTAATGGTTATTAATGCTAATGATGATGTTTACACTCTGTTTGGATCATTGTTACCCATTGTATTGTATTGTATCGTTATTATACCTACAATGTTTGTTTTGATTGTTACTTAAAATGTATTGTATTGTATTGTTAAATTTTGTTGTTACGTAACAATGAAAACTCTTATTTTACGGAACAACCGATTTGGTGTGTTCCCATTGTTACTTAATTTCTTTTTTCAATTATATCTTTACATAATATTTCAAAATACTATGTTACCCTTTATCTTATATTATTTAATTCTAGTCAAACCTCCTACCCTAGAATAATTAAGGATATTTTAGTAAATTTATAAATTACAATACAATAAGATACAATCAAACCAAACAATTAAAATGATATTAAACAACAACAAACAATACAGTCTAGCCAAACATTGTATCTACCATACAGTAGAGTACAATGCAATACAATACATTATGAAACAATGAGTAACAATGATCCAAAGAGAGTGTTAATGACTTTTGAATACCATTGGTGTTTAATGACTGTCTAAATACCCTTAATGGTATTTAATGGTTGTTGATGGCTATTGATCATGATTGTTGGATATCATTAACATTGTTTAAATACACTTAATGATATTTAATATTTGTTGATGGTTATTGATCATGACCGTTAGATACCCTTAATGGTGTCTAAATACACTTAATAATATTTAATGGTTGTTGATGACTATTCATCATGATTGTTGGATACCGTTAATGGTGTCTAAATAGACTTAATAATATTTAATGACTATCAATGACTATTAATTATGACTAGAAATATTTCATCTTTCAAACATTTCCCCTCTCTGAAAAGTATAAATAGGGGTGGTGGTTCTCAAGGAAATATCATTTTTTTTCTAAAAAAATTTTGCCCGCAAAACTTGATTGAGAGAGTTAGTCATGAATTAGTAGAAGGCTGCAATCGTGGAGTCCTAGTTCCTGAACTAGTTGTATGAAAGCTTCAAAAGTCTAGAGTTTCACAAGTTATTCAGTTTGCATTATTATGTTATTATGTATGTTTGTGATCTTGAATAAGGCTTCCATTGTGCATATTCTAACATTTTCCCTGTTAGTACTATTACTCTAACCTTCATTATTTTTA